GGCCCAAGGCACAGAGGGCCGTGGTAACTCTTAATGATTCAACATGAACAAAATATTCACGCACCGTGAGCCGACCAAGGACAGCATCTACCTCCTTGGCCTGAGCTCCACCTTCCAAAGCCATGGTCCTTCTTCTGGCTACAGTTTTCTTATCTGCAAAATAAGAGGGAACGAGGTGATTGAGGAGTTCCCTAAGCCTCCTTCCACTTGACTTAAGGCTGCAAAGGCTGGAGCCACAGCGCCCTCTGGTGACTACAGTAAAAACAGCTTTCCTGAAGGCAGACGGCAGAGGGAGCAACCGCGTCAACAGCTTACTTAATAGGGAGGGGAATCCAGACGCAGTCGGGGAAGTGGCTGCTCAATCTTAGTGAATTGGAGGCAGAGCCCAAGTGGGAATTGGAGCCGGAGCCCAACCACCTGACTCAGGAGGCATCTTGGTGTAGCCCATGGACATGGAATGTAGAGGTTCCAAGCCCAGCTTCAGAGAATCAGGAGGCTTGGTTCAAATCCTGCCTTCCCTTCTGCCATGCTGTTCAACCCAGGGCTTCCACTTACCTTTTCTGGGCATGTGTCCTCATCAGAAAGATGCATGCTGGGCCTGACATGCAGCAGGTGTTTAATAAACACCATGCCTTGCTTTTTATCCTACACCTGATCCCTCCACTCATCCCTTCAGGCTGACGTTTGGGGGAGCCGGTAGCACAGATGCCTGAAGGATTTGCCCCTGGTGGATGAGCAACTTCTTGTTGCTCACTTCTCAATTGGCATTTTCACATTTACTGGTGTCCATAGAGAATTCACTACTTAACTCCGTGGACCTGCCATTGAGAAAGTGAGTCAAATCCCCCCCCCCCCCCTATGTTACAGACGGGAGAAACGGAGGCCCAGAAAAAATACAAAGTCCTGCAAGTGCACTCAGAGGGTGCTAGAGGGTCGAGGCTGAGTATATGGGCTCTGGTCCAGATGCCCAGGTTCAAATCCCGGCTCTGCCACGTGTGAGCTGTGTGGCCTGAGGCTCATTACTCAACCTCCATGCCTCCGTTTCCCCGTCTATAAAATGGGGTAATATAGTACCT